GAACTGTTGTGTCTAATTCAGTGAACAAGTGGCTGTAATTCTTAGACATGTCAGCTAGCCTTGGGTGACCAAGTCCACATCTTACAGTATCAGCCCCTTTATGTTTTTTAGGATTTTATTTTATTTGAGAGGTAGAGTTACAGACAGTGAGAGGAAAAGACAGGGAGAAAGGTCTTCCTTCCTTTGGTTCACTCCCCAAATGGCTGCAACAGCTGGAGCTGTGCCAATCGGAAGCTTCTTCCCAGTCTCCCCATGGGTTCAGGGGCCCAAGGACTTGGGCCATCTTCTACTGCTTTCCCAGTCCATAGCAGAGAGGTAGATTGGAAGAGGAGCAGCTGGGACTAGAACTGGCACCCATATGGGATGCCAGTGCCACAGGCAGAGGATTAACCTACTGTGCCATGGGGCTGGCCCCAGTTTCTTTGTTTTTGCTGGAGCTGCAAGTTGGGGCTTTAACCCACTGTGCCATAGCACTGGCCCCTCCATTACCAGTTTATGGGATTTTTAGTTTTTTTCTTTCCCTCAAAGTTCTGGAAATTCTTGTCTAAAGTAGTCAAAAATCTGTATTCAGGAACGTTTTCTGTGAAATTGATTACAAGTGTTTTTAGAGAAGAATACAAAACTATGGATGACAGAAGTCTTTAAATAAACATAGTTAAAATTATGAAATTGATTAATTGACATGAGCCATTTATGTTCATTCCATACAGGATGTTACAAAGCAACTAAAGAGGGACCAGCATTGTGGCATTGCAGGTGAAGCTACTGCCTATGATGCTGGCATCCCCTATGGGTTACACTTCAAGTCCTGGTTGCTCCACTCTGATCCTGCTCCCTGCTAATGCACCTGGGAAAGCAGCAGAGGATGGCGAAGTGTCTGTGCTCCTGTACCCATTTGGGAGAACTTGAATTATGACCATATTGCCTGGCTTCAGCCTGGCTTAGCTTTGGTCATTGTGGCCCTTTGGAGTGTGAACCAACAGAAGAAATCCAATCTCTCTCATCTCTCTCTCTCTCTCTCTCTCCTCCTCCTTTCTGGAATTCTGCCTTCAAATAAGTAGATACATCTTTAAAAAGGAAAGAAAGAAACTGAAGGATTTTACACACCTATTGTCCCTTTTAGGACTCTGGGTCTCCTTTTTATGAAGAAAACCATCATGACTACTAACAACGCAACAGAACTATCAGATTTTAAAACTTATATAACTTCTAGGACATTTATATCAATGACATATCTATATAAATATAATTTAACATTGAGCATAATTTCACTTCAGTACTTTCCTAAAATGCAAGTTGCATAATAAACTATTACCTCTAAAAGATAAGACATATATCCTTTGACACATCAAGGGTTCCTACTGAAAATCTCAAAGTGAAAAATTTAGAACCTTGATTCTGGGAAAGTCTCAGGATGTCAAAATGGCTTAAAATATTTGGTCAAAATAGGCTCACATAATTTTGAAATAGCATCCATCTGCTTAGTGTGATTCAACCAGTTCTAAACCAGATTTACTCATAAATCTGATTTTATAAAACAAGTATATATACAACTTTTAACTCTTTGACTCAGCTTTTTCCAAACAATTCTGATTGTTTGCTAAGGCACAACATTTGTGATTTTTGGTCAGTCACCAAAGTGGAAGTAAAAACCTTGAATAGAAAAATAGCATATAAAATAACCCATTATTAGAAAAATTTAAGAGTCACAACCAGGAAGGAGAAGAAAGATTAAGGAAGCTGATTAGAAAATTCACAGATGATTAAAAACTAAGCAAGAATTCTTAAAAGGAGATGCTGCAGGTTTTTTTTTTTTTTTTTAACAAAAGATTCCATGACCAGCACTATGGCATAGCACGTGAAGCTGCCAACTGCAGTGCCAGCATCTCATTTGGTCACTAATTTGAGTCACAGCTGCTCCACTTCTGATTCAGCTCTCTGCTATGGCTGGGAAAGCAGTAGAAGATGGCCCATGTCCTTGGGCCCCTGCATTCATGTTGGAGACCTGGAGGAAGATGCTACCTCTTGGCTCCTGGCTCAGCTCTGGCAATTGAGGACATCTGGGGAGTGAACAAGAGGATGGAAGATCTCTCTCCTCTGCCTCTCTGGAACTCTGCCTTTCAAATAAATCAATAAATCTTTAAAAAAAAACATATTCCAAAATTAAAGTCCAAGGCTATTCCAGATATTTTCTAACATATCAATATGCACATAAACAGCTTGTTTAAAAAAAGCATCAAATTCTAATTTTATTTCAGTGTACCTTTGATATTCATTCCAAAATTTTAGAAAACAGTGTAAATTTTTAAAATTATAATTGGGCAGGCATTGTGGTATAGTAGATTAGGCAGCTGTCTGGGATGCCTCATCCCAGAGTGCTGGTTTGAATAATGACTGTTCCACATTTGTAAAAAAGAGTTTATTTATTTATCTATTTATTTATTTGAAAGGCAGAGTTATATATAGAGAGAGATTCCAAAAGACAGACATTTTCATCTAGTAGTTCACTCCCCAAATGGCCACAGAATCTGGGGCTAGGCCAGGCCAAAGTCAGAAGCTTCTTCTAGGTCTCCTAATGTGCTTGGAGGGACTCAAGCACTTGGGTCATCTTTTGTTGCTTTTCCAGGTGCATTAGCAGGGAGCTGGATTGGAAATGGAATAGCTGGGACATGAACTGCTGCTCAAATGGCTGCCACCATCTCAGCACTCTGCCACAGTGCTAGACCCTGCTCCATTTCTGATGAAGCTCACTGTTAATGTGCCTGGGAAAGCAGTGAGGATGGCCCAAGTGCTAGGCTGCTTCACCCATGTGGGAGATTTGAATGAAGCTTTTGGTTTTCACACACACACAATTTTTCTTACAAGATTTTTCCTTTTCAAACCTTTTTTTAAAAGATTTATTTTATTTATTCGAAAGTCAGAGTTAGAGAGAAGTAGAGACAGAGAGGTCTTCCATCTGCTTGTTCACTTCCCAGATGGCTGCATTGACCATTGCTGTGCCAATTCAGAGCCAGAAGCCTCCTCCAGGTCTCCCACACAGGTGTAGGGACCCAAGGACTTGGGCCATCTTCCATTGATATCCCAGGCCATAGCAGAGAGCTGGATCAGAAGACGAGCAGCCAGGACTAGAACTGGCACCCAGATGGGATGCCAGTGCTTCAGGTCAAGGCATTAACTCACTGCGCCATAGTGCTGGCCACTTCAAACCTTCTGTTATGTGCTCATGCTTTCTGCAACTTACTTAAACCTTCAGTTTTTGTCCTATTTTTGTCCTTACATTCTAGAGTATTGTAGCCTTTCTACCTTATGACAAAAATTTACATTTTGAAATAATTCATTTTTTAAAGATTTATTTATTTGTTTGAAAGTCAGAGTTACAGAGAGAGAGAGAGCGCATTTCCATCTGCTGGATCACTCTCCATATGCCCACAGCAGCCAGCACTGGGTCAGAGTGCTTCATCTGAGTCTTCCAAATGGGTGCAGGGACCTAAGCACCTGGGCCACCTGCTGCTTTTTACCAGCCACTAGCAGGGAGCTGGGTAAGAAGTGTGGAGCTGGGACTTGAACTGGTGTCCATATGAAATAATGGAATTACAGGAGGCTGCTTTAGCTGCTATGCCATTATTTTGGCCCCAAAATAATTTTTTTTATTTTTAAAGATTCTATTTATTTATTTGAAAGGTACAGTTACAGACAATGAAAGGGAGGGAGCGAAAGAGATAAAGGTCTTCCATCTTGCTTCAGCCCCCAAATGGCCGCAATGGCTGGAGGGGTGCCAACCCGAAGCCTGGAGCCAGGAGCTTCCTCCCAGTCTCCCACATGGGTGCAGGGGCCGAAGGACTTGGGCCATCTTCTACTGTTTTCCCAGGCCATAGCAGAAGCTCTCTGGATTGGAAGAGGAGCAGCTGGGACTAGAACTGGCACCCATGTGAGATGCTGGCACCGCAGGTGAAGGATTAAGCTACTATGCCACAGCGTCAGCCCCATCACCATCTCAAAATAATTCTTTAAAAACTTCTAAATTAACATAATTTTCAAAATGAAACAAGATAAAAATTTCATACTTACTTTTAAACCATCTTGAATTACTTTTAAAGAATGTTAAGATGTTAAGAGTACTTAACTTTGAGAGTGGAGAAGGGGTGGGGGCTATGGGTGGATGGCAGAGGAAGTAGGGGCAGGTGCAACTGTGTGACCCTCATGAATGAGAGAAACGTCTCACGTGCCCGGGGCAGGGAGCCAATGGGAACACTGGGAGGGCTCGATACCCTGCCCTAAGAGCCATGGCTGTGCGCTGGCTCGTGGAGGAGCGGTGTGGGCGTGCAGCATGCCGGGGCTCTGCGCTGCCTGTCAGAGGCCGGACAGCACTGCCGGGAGGCTGCATCGACAACGACGGTGGCAGTGATGGGCACTGCTCCAAGGGAGGCACCATAACCCAGTTGAACTCTGTGTCTGGAAAGCCCAAGATTGAAGAAGAAAGACCAGACACAGTGACTAACCTGGAAACTGGGACATCTTTGGAACTGTGCCTTCATCCCGAGTTATTTTTTAAAGTATCACGTGGTATCAATGTCTTCGTCTTATTCTGCTTATTGGGAAGAAAAGGCTTCAAGGATTTTAAGTTTTCCTTCAGTTTTGCATGAACTCTATAGGAAATGGGGCCCTTGAAGGGCTTGGGAATAGCAAGAAGAGATTGAAGACAGAGCAGCTTGCTCTCTCTCTGTTTTCTCTCTTCTTTTTTTTTTTTTTTCAGGCTTTAATATGTTTTATTGGAGAAAAATTTCAACAAAACATGGCTTTTATTTACAGAATTTAATGTGTGAGAGACTTCCAGCCCACATGGACCCAAGTGAAGATGACTACTGAGCCTGTTTATGTGTTTTCTTATTTTCAATGCACATACAAAAAAGGTTTTTCATATTCATAAAAATCCCAATATTGTAATGACAAACCCTCCCTTATCCACCCTCTATTAAATATATAAACAGCTTCAAAAATACACAATTAAATTGGTTTAATCTTGAAGTGTAATCCAATGAGACTGAAAACTAAACATTTCAGATCCTGTACCAAATAGTAAAATACACGAAGGCCTTCAGGATCCTTTGACTGATTTACATCAATAAGAGAACCTATTTTTGATGTTGTAAAAGAAATGTGTTCATCGCCAATAACAATTTCAAGCTCCTGTCGGCCAACCCTGTCAGGGGGAGGCCATAAGGCATAATCTTCTTTTGTAATTTCACTGTCATCAATAATCCTCTTCAGTTCTTCCATTACACTCTTGTGCACGTAAGCCTCTTTTCTGATCATGACATCATTTTTGTAATTACTATTATTGGCATATCTAAGCTTTCCGTCCGGCCGAAACTCGAACTCCAGAAACTCGTGTCCAAACTTGCCTTTGTGCCCTACATAATAGCGCAGGTAGAAATCACTAGCCATAGACATCTTTGCTCCCAGACAAGCCCGCCCAAAGCCCGGCCAACGTGCCTCCCGGCGCCCGGCAGTGACTGTTTTCTCTCTTCTTAAAGGAAAGTCTTTACAACTCAACTTGTAACAGCTGTAGTCCAGCATTAGCCACCAAGAGAGAAATAAATAATATCAGAGAGCCATTGCAGACTACAAACCCTGGTGAAGTCAAGGTGTGGGAGCGGTGGCATTGAGAAGGCTGCCTAGAACTGACAAGGGCTGCCGTGAAAACAGCTCTTCTTCCACGCTGGAAGGGGCTGCAGGTTCCTTCGTGGATAAAAATGCACAGTACACACCTCTTCTAGGTAGTGCTCACATTTTGTGGGAGTGTGGTAGTCGTGGAGGTACTAGGGTATCTCCTCAGGAATTTTCCTTGCTCAGAATTTCCTGCCCTGCCTTGAAATTTCCCCTTCTTTTTTTTGAAGACCTGCCTCTGTCCATGAGCAGTACCTTGATCTGTCTGACTGTCCATGTTCTCTACCTGCAGCTACTTGTATGTGTACAGCCTCCTGTTTGTCTCCCATTTCCAAGCTGGTAAACTTGTGTTTTTTTGTTTTTGTTTTTTTTTTATATTTATTTGAAAGTTACACAGAGGAGAGGCAGAGAGAGAGAGAGAGAAGTCTTCCATCTGCTGGTTCACTCCCCAATTGGCTGCAAAGGCTGGAGCTGCGCCAATCCGAAGCCAGGAGCCAGGAGCTTCTTCCAGGTCTCCCACGCGGGTGAAGGGTCCCAAGGACTTGGGCCATCTTCTGCTTTCCCAGGCCATAGCAGAGAGCTGGATCAAAAGTGGAGCAGCCAGGACTTGAACTGGTGTCCATATAGGAGGCCGGCACTACAAGCAGCAGCTTTACTTGCTACACCACGGCGCCAGCCCCCAAGTTGTGTTTCTTAACCTCCTCTTCTGCTTTGTTCTGGGGAAGCGGTTATTTATCACTTGCAATCCACCTTTACCCCTCCCATATGTTTCCTTCATTTGAGATATTTTGACCTTCAGTTTTGTTTGGGGATGTGGAAGGATGATAATTCTAAATTTTTTGTTTCCCTGATTTTTTTTTGTTTTTTTCTGTACTCTTCTCTGTTGGTTCCCTTATCCCATTGTCTTATCCATTCTGCCTCTGTGTGGGCCTGGGCTATGCAGCAGGGCAGATCTCCCCTCAGAGCTCCAACATGCTGCAGAGTCTGGATAGAGATTCAGACCCAGAAACACATCCTGGCCTCAGCAGCCGCTATCTTCTTAGTGGGAGCTACAACACTCTTCTTTGCTTGTCCAGAACTAAGCCTGAATATGTCACCTGCAGTGCCCATCTACAATGCATTTATGTTTCTCTTTGTTCTGGCCAATTTCAGTAGGGCCACCTTCATGGACCCAGGCATTTTCCCTGGAGCTGAGGAAGATGAGGACAAGGAAGATTTTTGAGCTCCCTTGACAAAACAGTGGAGATCAAGGGCATCCAGGTGTGCATGAAAGGATGTGCCACCTGCCGCTGCTACTGTCCTCCTCGGCGTTCCCACACAGTGTCTGTGATAATTGTGTGGAGGAATTTGATCATCCCTGCCCCTGGGTGAACAACTGTATTGGCCGCCAGAACGAGCATTGTTTCTTCCTCTTCCTCCTTTCCTTGACAGCCCACTCTATGGGTATATTAGGCTTTGGCCTCCTTTATGTCCTCTGCCACATAGAGGAGCCCTCAGGGGTCTGCACACTGTCACAATGGCAGTGAAGTGTGTTGCTGGCTTATTCTTCATCCCTGTAGCTGGCCTCACAGGGTTTCATGTGGTGCTGGTGGCCTGGGGACGCACAGCCAATGAACAGGTTATGGGTAAATTCCGGGGAGGCATGAGCCCCTTCACCAATGGCTGCTGTAACAATGCACTTTGCAATTCCCCAGCACCCAGATATTTGGGAAGACCAAAGAAAGAGAAGACAATTATAATCAGACCTCCCTTCCTTCAGCCAGAAGTGTCAGATTACTGTGAAGATCATGGATAATGGCATCCAGGGAGAGCTTAGGGGAACTAAGTCTAAGGAAAGCTTGGAAACAACAGAGAGCCAGTCCGCAAATGCCAGACCCCGGCCTCCTCCTATGCCAGACCTGAGCAGCTGCATGGGACTGCGAACACACCTTTGCCTGGCTACTAATGGAGATAGCAGCTTTTGGGGCCAGGACAGCCCCCCACACCAACCATGTACAAGTGTCGGCTGGGTTATAGCAGCAGCAGTGCATCAGCTGCCCTGCCTCATTCCTCCAGCACCAGGTTAGTCATGGGGACAGTTTGAGGAAGCCAACCTCAACTGCAGAGAGCAGCCGTCATCCCAGTTACCACTCAGAGCCCAGCTTGGAACCCGAGAGCTTCTGTTCTCCCACCTTTGGCAAAAGCTTTCACTTTGACCCACTTTCCAGTGGCTCTCATTCCTCCAGCCTCAAGTCAGCCCAGAGAACAGGTTTTGTGCTGGACCAGTTGCAGTCCATGCATTCAGAGGGCACCACTTCCACCTACTGTAAGAGCCTGGCCAATCAGACATGCAATGGAAGCCTGAGCCAGACCCAGCTTTCAGCTACACCTCTCCCTTCCTGTCAGCCTGCCTGACCCAGCAATGGGAAGCTGAGAGGCATCCACGTTTGGTGCCAACAGGTCCAACACGAGAGCCCTCACCAGTCTGTTATGACAATCTGTGGCCTCCCTCCAGGGATGAGAGAAGCTGCTGCACCAGTCACCCAGCTCCCAGTCCATGAGGAAGAGCCAGGCTTGGGAGACTCAGGCATTCAGTCAACACCTGGCTCAGGCATGCCCTCATAGGGCTTCCTCCTTAGCTGATCCGAAGAGATCACCACCGAGCAAGACTCCACTTGGACGCCCAGCTGTCCCCCATTTGGGGAAGGCAGAAAGCCTAAGGGGCCAGGGACTAGGGTCCCCTGAACCAGGTCCAACCACCCCATATCTGGGCTGTTAAACATCTTACAGCAGCCAAGAATCCCCACCTGGTGTCTCTGAGATAGAGGAAGTGGCCTTGCAGCCACTGCTGATGCCTGAAGATGAAGTACAGCTCAATACCGCCCACAGCAAATCCAACAGCAACCCAAGAGCATCAGCTCAGCCTCCCCTGGCCCCACAAGGGGAGGAGTCAAGAAACTGTCCTGAGCGGGCGGTACCACCTGAGATATGGTGTGAGCCTTCAGTGCCTCCCCTTCCCTCACCACTGTGTCTACACCAAAGGGCCCCGGGTGGCCACCTTCCTTCCCTACGATTTTGAAAATTTTTCCTATGAAAGAAAACTCAAAAGAATGATTCTGATTCATTGTACTTAATACACAGAATATAATTTTAACCTTGGTTAAAATTTTCATATTTTGGCTGACACTCACTGGCTGCTGGTGTTTTGAATGACCTATGAATAATGGTGTTTGCATGGGAGTTTCAGGAGCCCACTGAAAGGCAATGACAGAAGGCAGACCTCACTGACAGCTCATGAGGAAACATGTAACCATCGACTGTGAACAACTGAATTCTATTTCCAAGAAGCCTCCACCCAGACCATCTGTAGTTATAGAGAAAGGGAGAGACAGAGAGAAAGGTCTTCCATCTGGTTCACTCCTCAAATGGCCACAATGGCCATATCTGGGCCAATCCTAAGTCAGGAACAAGAGTTCCTCCTGGGTATCCCACATGGGTGCAGAGGCCCAAGCACTTGGCAAATCTCTACTGCTTTTCCAGGTCACAGCATAGAACTGGATGAGAAGAGGAGCAGCCAGGACTAGAAATCATGCCCAGATGGGATGCAGGCACCTGCGGTGGTAGCTTAGCCCACTACATCACAGCCCCAGCCCCATTCAGAGATCTTTTAAGTGGCCATTTCTTATTCAGTCTTAAGGAGGTCAAGCAGTATTATAATAAAACAGCTTTTTCTTTTGTAGTTTCCAAATACAATTTATTTATTTTAGAAAATAAGTGCTAAGGGGCAATAAGAATAGAGCTCTGATTACAATTGCTGTTTAGTCCAGACCGTAAAAGAACCAAGTTAGAAAACAATTTCTTGGGCTGGCACTGTGGCATAGTGGGTTAACACCCTCTCCTGAAGTGCCGGCACCGCATATGGGTGCTGGTTCTAGTCCTGGCTGCTCCTCTTCCAATCCAGCTCTCTGCTATGGCCTGGGATAACAAATAGAAAATTGCCCAAGTCCATGGGCCCCTGATCCCATGTGGGAGACTTGGAAGAAGAAGCTCCTGATACCTGGTTTTGGACCAACCCGATCCTGGTCATTATGGCCAATTGGAGAGTGAACCATGGATGGAAATTCTTTCTGTCTCCCTCTCTCTCTGTACCTCTGTCATTCAAATCAATAAAGAAATCTTCAAAACAAAACAAAAAACCAATGTCCACTAACAGCTGAACAAAACATTAAAAGAGATATTACCTGGTACCACCATGTACAAGTTTGATACTTACCAAATACATTTCCCTAGATTTCAGTTGGAATTTTAATCTGGTTTGTGCCAGTCTGAAACTCCTTAGGCCAATGACACCAGGTCAACAACTAGTTGCTCAGGTTATTTCTGATTCAAAGAAATATTCAGGAAGCAGCAAGACAGCTCACAGGGGTGATTTGTACCAGGGGCTGCTTTGCCTACTCTGGACTGTGCTCCCTTCATGATTGCTGTATCTGTCTTTCAAAATAAAATAAATCTTTAAGATAAAATGAAAAAGCCAGAATCATGGAGCAAATGAACCTTAAGCATCAGAACAGTGGTGCTTCTAATACAAAAGTATTAGAGGTTAAAGCATGAAATATGGATATGCAATGTAAGGTAATTATAAAAGAGATGTATGTACTTGCTGACTATTCTAATAAGAGAATAAACTCTAAAATAAAGGTACTACAGATAAATGACATTTTAGAGTAATAAAAGGGTCAATCAACCTGGATAAGATTAATTCTAGATATGCATGTATCTAACAAAGAAGCCCAACATTAAATGAAAAAAATGACAAAAATCAGAGAAAAGACTGGTGAAGACTAGTATTAGGAAGGGGGACTGTGGCATAGAGAG